TCGCTACGTTGTATGTTATGTTTCCAACATAATTTCTGTCATTTATATCTCTGGTCAGTGTTTAAAATAATTTTCGTTCTATATGTTGTGTATATAAATTCTCTACCAGAAAGAGGTTACTGTAACCACTGCCCCCTCTGGATCAACATGGTTGATGTAATGAAATCATATACAATGTATTTAAGTGCTTATTTGATGGAGTTCTCTGTTGGATAGTAGGTTCCTAATATGTTTCCTAATTTGTTTTGGTAACAGGTTATTAGGATTCCTAATCTTTAATTTGTTTTGGTAACAGGTTATTAGGATTCCTAATCTGTTTTGGTAACATGATTCCAAATCTGTTTTAGTAACAGGTTATTAGGATTCCTAATCTATTTTGTTTTTGTTTTAGAATTCCTAGTATGTTTATGATTTTAGGATTTCTATATATATGAAACAATTGGAAGAGAGAATTGAGAAGAAATTGGGGATATTTGGAGCACAGAAAAGAGGTATTTTCTGAGCTATTGGTTAGAGTTTTGTTTAGAAAGAATTAGAGATTTGTTGGTGAGATTAATTAGAGAGTTTGAGTGATTTGTAATCTCGGTTTGTACTCTTCTTCTCTATTAGTGAAAAACCCTATCTTCTTCTTACCCCGTGGACGTAGGCAACTTACCGAACCACGTTAAAATTGGTTGTTTGTGTTTGTGGCATTGATTTGGTTCGTTTGGCCTTCTTTCAGTATTTGTTTGATTTGGTCTCTCGAAGCATATTGGTTTAGTTGTTTGGCTTCCGCAGCGCTCAACAAGTGATATCAAAGCTCGGGCTATGCTTGAGCTATTTGGAGGAGTAGGTCGTTTTGGAGACTCGCCTAGGGCTTTGTTTGGTGATAAAGATGGGATCTTTTTGGTAAAGACTCTATCTTTTTTAGTTTTGGATCTATTCTGCATTTGTTTTGGTGCTTTGAGAAAGATGATCGGAAAAGGAGTTGTGGAGGGTACTTCCGACATGAAGACCGTCCAAAGTTTGAATATCCACTCTATGAAGATAAATATGGAGAAGTTTAATGGCACAAACAATTTTGATTTTTGGAGATGTGAAGTCTTGGATGCGCTCAATGCACAAAATTGGAAGATACTTTGGAGTTGGACGGGAAACCAGACGACATTGAGGAGAAGGTTTGGAAAAAGATGAATACTTTGGAGTTGGACGGGAAACCAGACGACATTGAGGAGAAGGTTTGGAAAAAGATGAATAGAACGGCGTGTGGTGTGATTAGATCTTGTTTGGTTTGGAAAAAGATGAATAGAACGGCGTGTGGTGTGATTAGATCTTGTTTGACTCAAGATTTAAAATATGGCGTTATCAATGAGACTTCGGCTAAGAAGATTTAAGAGATCCTAGAGGGCAAGTATTTGACCAAGAGTGCAGAGAACTACTTGTATTTGAAGAGGAAGCTTTATCGCTTCCAATTGAAGAAGGGGACCTCCATTGGTGATCACATGAACCACTACACGAAGTTTCTTGCAGATTTGGTGAATGTAGATGTGATAATTGAAGATGAGGACAAGGCATTGTTGTTGTTAAGTTCCTTGCCTGACGAGGAATATGAGACCTTTGTTCTTACTCTTATTAATGGGAAGGCATCGCTTTCTTATAGTAAGGTTACCGCTGTATTTGTAAATTATCAACTTCGAAAGAAGGATAAGGAGTCTTCAGTTGAGTCGGTAGCGGAACATTGGTCGCAAGAGCAAAGAGTCCAAACCGTGATAGGAGGTCACAGTCTAGAGGGGCACATCTTGGAGTTCGTAGGAATCAGTGTGCCTTTTGTAAAGAGGATGGACATTGGAAAGCCGAATGCCCAAAGTTGGTTGATCGAGCCGAGAAGAATAAGGAGAAAGCTATTCAAGCTTCAGAGGTAAATGTTATCAAGACTAGTGATAATAATTCAGATTCGGATTCTTCGAGCTACTCGTTATCTGCACTACTGTCAGTTTGTGTTGCCGACTCTACAGAGTGGGTGTTGGATTCGGGTGCTTCTTATCATATTTTCCCTAGGAGGGATTTGTTCTCCAGCTTTTAGGAGTTGGAAAGAGGGGGGTCGTGCTTATGGGTAATAATCATGAATGTCCTATTAGTAGTATCGGTACCGTTCGGATTAGAATGAGTGATGGAGTGATTCCAGAGTTGGTTGGAGTGAGGTTCGTTCCTCAGTTAAAGAAGAACATCATTTCACTTGGAGTTTTGGAGGCAGCAGGCTATAGGGTGACCTTGGTCGATTCACGTTTGAAGGTCACATTAGGGTCCATGATTGTGATGAAGGGCGTCAGGAGGAATAATTTGTATTATTTGATTAGGAGCATGGTGTTTGATAGAGAGATAACAACTTCTTTGGATTTGGCTAGATTGTGGCATTTGTTGAGGCTGAGTTATTTGATTGGTTATGTCGTGCTTGGTTTGTTGAGGAGTGCTTTGACCTACAGATTGAAGTCATTTGAGCACATTGGTATGAGCAAGAAGACCGAGGTAGAGTTTAACACTTCTATCCATCGATCGAGGGGTCTTTTAGGTGGTGTTCAGTCAGGTATTTAGGGGCCTTCCAAGGAGGTATCATTGGGAGGTAATCGGTATTTGATTTCTGCAGTTGGGGATTATTCTAGGCATTAGTGGGTTGCAACCAAGTCCCGTTGGTGTGAAGTCCTTGAAGTAAACAACAATTGGAAGAATTATATTGGGAGAAAGGTAACCCGTCATTCTAGCTTGGTAGGAGTTCTTTTTTACATTTGTGCTGAGCTTATGGCAATTTGAGACACTTCATTGATGTGGAGACATTGGGGCGACGAGATGAGATGACAGTTTTGTTGGGTCATTCCTTACTGGAGGGGATCAGTATTGGTTGTCGAGCATTGGTTTTGGTTTTAGAGCTTTGACATATTTGGGTCATCTTGGTCATAGGTTGTCGACTGCTGCGTGTGGAGATTTTGGATCTGGTGGAGCTGCTTCAGATTTTGGGTTGCGTCTGATATTTGGTTGCCTAGCATTTGGTCACATCGAGGATGTGAGATATGATCTGATTGCACGTTTGGGATTCAGAGGTTCGTTTGATTATCAGTTAGGAGCTTCTGATTTTGTTCTGAGCAGGTATGTCACATTTGACTCTCGGCAGGTGGAGAGTGTTGATCAGATCATTGGGATATCGCAGCGGGTGGATGGTGATGCTACTTCACATTGGGTGGAGATTACTCCACAAACTCCAGATCATACTGCATCATTTGAGATTCTAGCTGATGTGACACAGTTTAGAGATCATTTGGATTTGGATGCAAATGATAAGTTGGTTTTGGATTCAAATGCAGCTGGTAGACATGTTTTGGATACGGCCATTGGTTCACCTCAGGTGGAGGTGTTTGATTTGTTTTAGTTTGGGGTCATTAGGAGCGCTATCAGTTGCAGATCCATTGGTGATATTGGTAAATAGTTGCAAACTTTTCTATTTGATTGAGAGCCTTTGAAGGCCGTTTGGGTGAACTACGTGAATGCTTGATTCCTTAGGCAAGAGAATACGTAGGCAGTCATTTATGATGCAGCCGGTTTGGTGAGTTGATACCGACATTTGGAGTTTGTTCGCATTCTCGTTTGGGTTCTTGACCTGTTGTGGATTGAGTCCATTATCGTGGATTTGTTCCACTTCGTACTGGACGCAACAAGTGAGACGTTTGGTTGGTATTGGTGTCGGCTCAGTTTTGGGGAAACTTTGCCGAGGTGGAGAATTGTTGGATAGCAGGTTCCTAATATGTTTCCTAATTTATTTTGGTAATAGGTTATTGGAATTTCTAATCTGCTTTGGTAACATGATTCCAACCTGTTTTGATAACATAATTCCAAATATGTTTTGGTAACAGGTTATTAGGATTCCTAATCTGTTTTGTTTTTTGTTTTATAATTCCTAGTATGTTTATGATTTTAGGATTTCTATATATATGAAACAATTGGAAGAGATAATTGAGAAGAAAATTGGGGATATTTGGAGCACAGAAAAGAGGTATTTTCTGAGCTATTGGTTAGGGTTTTGTTTGCAGAGAATTAGAGATTTGTTGGTGAGATTAATTGGAGAGTTTGCGTGATTTTTAATCTCAGTTTGTACTCTTTTTCTCTATTAGTAAAAAAACTATATCCCCTTCTTGCCCCGTGGACGTAGGCAACTTGCCGAACCACGTTAAAATTGTTTTTTTTGTGTTTGTGGCATTGATTTGGTTCGTTTGGCCTTCTCTCGACGTTCGTTTGATTTGATTTCTCGTAGCACGTTGGTTTGGTTGTTTGGCTTCCGCAACGCTCAACATTCTCATCATATATTGACACAATGCTGACATGACTACTATATATAACAAAAATACTATTCTCTGAACATTGAGTATATCTTTCATATCAAATCTGACACAGAACTCTCGCCTTTTTATATATTCAGTGAATGTATATTATTATTTCCTTCCATATTTTTTCAAATAAATTCTCTGCATGAAAGAGAGAGAGATTACCGTAGTAGCCTTCATGCTAGAATTGCATGCTCAATGTGACGAAACTATATGCATTGCTTTCAGGTAAGGGGCTGTTTGGTTGGCTAAAAAAAAGAAAATCAATTATATAGAAAATAGGTTCTTTTTGTGTTTGGTTTACTTCTTAAAACTAAAAAAAAGATGATATGATATGAGTTGTCACCATATTATTGGATGATGCGAAATATTTTTAATGAAATACATTTCATAAATTTTTTTTAGAAATAGATGAAAATCAACTTTTAATGGTTTCCTTGTCCTATTTTCTTTTCTTTGATTTTAGGAAATCAACCAAACAGGCCCTAAAATTATTAACAGTCCCACATTGGTGACAATTAGCCAATACATATAGCTACAATCCACGTGTCAGCAATCTAGCTCGGTAGGACGATATCACGGTGCATCCTAGATTGCATAAAACCATCACCTTTCCTCGCAAACTCGGGCTTTTAAAGGGATTAGGTCCGAAATAGTCTCTCTCTCTCTCTCTCTCTCTCTCTGCTTTTGCTGAGCTCTCCCATTTGCGATGGAACCACAGGCAGAAATTCCCAAATCCTCGAGGTGAATATTTCCTTTTATCTTCTAATTCTGTAGCTATCCATTAATTTCTTTTGTCATTCAATCCTGTATTTGGTAATTAGAGTGAAAATTAAATGACTTCTTGGGTTGCTTACCTACTTACCGCATTTCCTTTTAAGGTGATGCATGGGTTTGTTGCTTATCGGTTTTTAAATTCAAATTTATGTGGAAAACTCAAATGGGTTTTGATTTTTTCAGTGATCTTAGGAATCATACTTCGACCTGCTAGTTAAGGGGGGGTTAGTCATCTAGAACTTAAATTTGGAACTGGGATAATCTGTGTGATAAATTTTTAAGGTGTTAGTCACATAGAACTAAAACTAGAATAAAATTTTACGGTGTTAGTCAAGTAGAACTCTAACAAAACGAGAATTGGGATAATGGTACAAAATTATCCCATTTTTTTATTTTTTTATACAAAAATAAGAGTTCTAGTCTCTCAAATTATTCTAAGTTTTAGCTTGGAACTAGGTGGTAAAAAACTAAAACTCATATTTATTTTGTTTTTTTTTTATTTTTATATTTTTTCCTTTAGGGGGGGTTAGTCATCTAGAACTTAAATTTGGAACTGGGATAATCTGTGTGATAAATTTTTAAGGTGTTAGTCACATAGAACTAAAACTAGAATAAAATTTTACGGTGTTAGTCAAGTAGAACTCTAACAAAACGAGAATTGGGATAATGGTACAAAATTATCTCACTTTTTTTATTTTTTTATACAAAAATGAGAGTTCTAGTCTCTCAAATTATTCTAAGTTTTAGCTTGGAACTAGGTGGTATAAAACTAAAACTCATATTTATTTTGTTTTTTTTTATTTTTATATTTTTTCTTTACTTCTTTCCTATTATGGGTATCACTTAAATGTCCCAATTAACTAACACCCCCTAAGGGAGTTGTTTCCAATTTAGAGAAAAACCTGGACGCTTTTAGGTATTTCAGTGCATTTATTCTTGTTATAGTTTTAGGGACTTTTTTTAAATTAGTCTTTGAAGGGCATTGAATATTAGCGATTAACCCATCCTTGTTTAGTTTTAAATTATAAAATTTTAAGAGAAGTAAACAACGCGGTTAACCCCCCCCCCCTAAGCTCCGATTCCCGCTACTCCACTCTAGCCACATGGTGCTTACAAGTGCAGACAATTCCTGTACCTTTATTGTCAGGGGGAACCCCTTTTGATGCCTCAACAGCTCACGTAGGCACCTTAGGCACACCAAAGGCTTGTGGGACATGACATGCAAGGTGCCCTTACCTCTATTTTGAAATTTTGAGAGTGCGACGGGTGTATAACAAAGTAAACTGATTTTGGAAATAAAATATATATCTTTTCTTTTCCTTGGCAGATTGTTTGATATTTTTTCTTGTAATGTGCCTAATTACCTATACCTATATTCGAGGACATGACAGTTTGAAACTTGAAGTCCAAACTTTATTGCTTTATGACCTATGTAACTAATTAGTAGTTAGTAGAACTATTTAATATTTGTTACTACTCTGTTTAGATGGTTCGTGTGTTGTTAAATATCATAGTTTGTGACTTTTTGTGCAATTTTTGAAACTTTTTGGATTTTTTAATAATACTTCATGAATTATAATATGTTAGCTATGTATGATTTCTTAATCTTATTTTTTTAAATTGTTGAGTTGTAGGTAGTTCACGCAGGATTAATATAGGATATAATTAGTATTAGGATAGTGTAAGATTTAAATGAAATATTCAAAATAATGTTTCATGTATTTTATTAATCTTTTTTTATAAATTGTTGAGCTATAAGTAGTTCACATTGGATTAGTATCAGATATAATTAGGATTAGGATAAATTAAGATTTATATAAAATATTTAAAATAATGAAGAGTAATATTGACCATGGAAAGCAACATCATGACCTCATCTCCTTAAACTTGCGTTTCGCTTTTAAAACACTGCTTATACTTTAGTGAAAAAGAAGTCACAATCTTCTTGGTCTGCGCCTAAATAGTTATCTCATTTCCAATTCTCAAAGTCCTATCAACGATAGTATCACAAACTTATTCTGCAACAAGTATCTCTTGTTCTTCAGCTTTACATAAGTAATTCGAGTGTTCTGAAGATTATAGATATATTTGGCCCCATACATGGAGAGGTACAAAGGTAGGTCTCATAACAGACTGCCTCAGACACTAGAGTAGACACTAGGGTCTCTTGACAATAGAGCCTCACACATGGAGACATAAAGTAGAAGTTCATATAAGGAGACCGATAGTAACGACTCGGACATTGATACAAACAATAGGGTCTTGGATTTGGCTTTTTTGTTTTGAATCTTTACGGTCGTTGTCAGAGAGTGTTATATGAGGAGAAGATGAAGCTACCAGGGGGAAGCTTAGAGATGGTACTTGAGCCGACAACCCTTGTGGCTGCTTTGAGTTTTAGGCATTATAAAAGAGGTATTATCATGGTTTTGAATATCCCTAATATATCATTTTATAAGGCTTGCTGCTAAATGATATGATCTCAATTCATTTTCGGTTTTGTCAATTTTTAGGCGATATTATATCATGATTTTCCAATATATCAAGTTACATTTCAGCCTCAAAAATCACCAGAAATGTTGCAGTATCAATTTGGATTTTTATTTGTTATAAAAGATTGGTCTGGATTTATGGTTCAATTGAGGCCTAAACCCGAACAAATATCTGTTAAATAACCAGAAACAAGTGGAGCTCGATTGAGACCGAATTCTCTTGCAACATGTTCCCAATATCTGATAGTTAGAACATTGGGTATTATAGAATTATCATTTTAGCTTCGGTACATTGTTATGTTGCAGAAAGTAATTTCACCATAGTGAGGGTCTGAGGGATATTCAGAGTTTATTTATTGTAAATCAAAAACAACACACAAGTACATTTTTTCAATGAGAAACAACCGAAGTTCTGGAACTTTCCTAAATATATAACTGCTCTAATAATGGGTATTTGTTAAAGTTGAGAAACGGTGAGAGGATGAGATGGAGACAGGAGCTATGCTGGATGAAACTGCTAGAAGCCTAGAACAAACTAGGTCTGAAGCTATAATGGAGTAGAATGTGAATGGAGCCACATACAAATACAATAAAAAATATGGACTTAATAGGCAATAGAGAAAGCTTTCCATTTAGTAGATTCTAATCATGCAGGGTAAAGGCTTTGTTGTTTCAATTTCTGGTTTGTTGTTTTCTTGTTTCCCTCTTGGTGTCTGTGTAGTTATAATGGAAATTCTGATAACAAAAACACCATTTCGTTTGAAAATGGATGTCAAAATCCCAAGAGCGGAAAAATTATTAGTCCTAAAGCTATTAGCCTTCATAACAAGTAATGGAGGCTAAGCATGCATGCATGCCACCTTGTATAAATCATGTGAATATGCTTAATTCCGTGTTCTAGAGGATTGCTTCTGCTGTTTTTTATATATGACAATTTGTTGTTTGCTATTCAAGGCATTTTCATTAGTTAGCAATTGGGCATCAGAGTGGACATTCATATGCTTCATGCATCTTAATCTAACCTTTTTACAGGCACAAATGCTCCGCATGTTTCAAGCAATACAAGATAAAAGATCACCTTGTCGAACATATGAAGAAATCATATCATTCAGTTCATCAGCCCAAGTGTGGGGTCTGTAAAAAGCATTGCAAGACACTGGAATCAGTTAGAGAGCATCTTACAGGTAGCTACTTAAGCTAAACTTTAAGCATATGCAGTTATGTTTCAAATGTTAGTTTTAATCTCTTACTATTTCTTATTTTTCACTCTATTAAATTTCAATTGCATGAAGGTCCACTGGCCAAATCTGACTGTGCAGTGGTCTTTGCTGCCTTGGGTTGTAAGCTCTGTCTATCAATATTTGATAATGTTGATGCTCGTGGCCTACATGAAGTCTCTTGTAGCTTTGATCCACCTTCTGTCCCTGTAAGTTATGCAACAAAAGCTTGATACTCATATATTCTTCTACTTAGTCTCTCCCATCTAAAGTTGAATGGGTATTTTTATAGGAGCTAATGTCCTTGCCTATTGCTGACATGTGCGATGAAGTTGAAGCGGCAGTTTTGAACTCAGCTGTGCCAGATGATAATGGTACTTGCCCCAAATTAGTCGCTTTGGACTGTGAAATGGTTGGAGGTGGAGATTATGGTTCATTTAACCTTTGTGGTAGAGTTTGCCTTGTTAATGAAAAGGAGGAGGTGATATTTCATGCATATGTAAAGCCTATAATTCCAATCACTGATTACAGGTTCTCTCTTTCAGTTCATTCCTGATGATTGTTATAGGAATGGGTTATTTAGATATTAGTCCATAAAGTCATCAAGAATTCCATATTAGCCTTCAAATATGTGAAATTGCTCGTGAGTGGGTCTTGCACTTGGTCGCTCAATGACCAAACTACCCTCCAGTCTATGTTCCCTCTAAAAACCCTTCTCGTCCAGAAAAACATTGGCTAACGGGTATTTTGGTCATTGAGTGACCAAATTGCAAGACATCTTAGGATTTGAGAGACATGCATAATTTCAAATATGTGAAGGATTAATATAGAACTATTGAAGATTTGAGAGACTGTATATAATAACCCTTTAGGAATTTCTTGTGTTTGTGTATTCAGATTAACCTTAATTTGCAACTGGCTCCAGATATGAATTAACTGGCATAACAGAGGATCATATCGTAGATGCAACACCAATTTGTGAAGTTTCAAAGAGAGTCAAAGAAATATTGTATAATGGGGAAGAATCGACATGGAGAATGCGAACTGATGGTGGAGAAGCTTGTCTTCTTATAGGTCATGACTTGGACCATGATCTTGAAGTTTTACGAATGGACTACCCTGAGAACTTGACACGGTGAGCTCTTGATGATCCTCTTGTCCTCTTCTTAGTTGAATGCAAAATTAAATTGCATTTACAACCTTATGAAAAATTAAAGTTTTTTTTTCTTTTTCTTTTGGGCTAACTCACTGAATTGTTCCTTTGATCTTTATACAGGGATACAGCCAAATACCGTCCGCTTCTGAAAACAAATTTGAAAAGCCATTCTCTGAAGTATCTGACCAAGACCTACTTGGGGTGTGTAACTCGTTCGTATGTTACACTCCCTATCAACACTGTAATATTTATAGTAAAATACAACTTCGTGTTCTTTTAGGATGTTTTATTGCTAAATTTAGTGGTTTAGTATCAAGTTTCCTGATATAATTGTAAAGTTCATATTTGTTTAAGTGACATTGATTAAAGAATAATTCAACCATGTACTCAAACACTAAGTGTCAAAGCGCATGACTTATACTCTTTAAGCTTGTAGAATTATAACATACGGACAAGTAGAAATTTTTTTTATCTGGAAATATGAAGTATCTCGACTCTAATATCATCCTCTGTGGTTGATAATATGATATCTCTTGTTTACCCCGTATTACTAGGAAATAGTAAACAATTGAATTGATTGAGAATGTAACCACTGTTTTTGAATCCTAATGCATGCATTCATGTCGATACACTTCTTCTGTTAACAACTAGATAATCCTGTTTGAAAATCCCAAAATGAATTTATTAACCAAGTTTTGGCTTTATAGGTATGAGATACAGTCTGGTACACATAATCCATATGAGGATGCAGTTTCTGCTATGAGACTTTATAAAAGGATTCGCTCTATTGTGCACCAAACCAATGAAATTTCCATTCAAGATAATGATGATAGCATCTATTATACCAACGACAGCAAGAAGAACAGCCCATTTGATTCCAACAAGAACAATAAGAAGAAAAGCCCATTTGATCTATACAAGAAATGTGAACTCTTGGCTAAATCCCCGGATGAGCTACTTGAGATATCCAAGTCCTCCTACAAATGTTGGTGCTGGGATGCAAAAAGAACGCTAAACAGGATGATAGAAGAGTGATGAACTGGAGTTTTTTCTTATCTAAAGTTCCAATTTCCCCCAAATATACCGTACAGTGGAAAGGTATGTTTTTTTTTTTCTTTCTGTCATGTCATATCTTTGTTTTGTTGTTTATGCATATGAACAACTTTGAGCAATGAAAGCCATAGTATGGTTCTTTATAGAAATGGCATAATGGATTGTTGGTAAATTTTGTGGTATTCTATTGGTGCCATTGTCATTTGAATTTCTATGTATATCTCGATTATTTGTGGAAGTGATGGTGTCTCATCTAGTGATGATTACATATGGGAGGGAGTACACAAATTCATTAACATATAATAGGATCAACCTTTTAATAAGATAATTTTTTCGTGTCCCAAAATTTCTCATAGGCTTTCTGATTTCCATACTTAGCCACTCATATTTTCAGTTATTCTCAATCTTTGGTGGTTCATTATGCTCATCTTCATCGTCTTGTAATGCTTGCAGCATGAATTCATGTATCCTGTTTTCACTAAGTGCCTGAGCTTATAGACCCAAATCGATCACAAGATGTTAATTAAACAAAATATAGGACAAATAATCCTTTGCTCAGAGAAGCATATTTGTTCAACACTCTGCAGATATCTGTACAGTAGTACGGTTATCTTACATTGAAGAATCTCATCTCGAGTAGAGGAAAATTTAGCATTCTATCTATACTGCTTAAGGCAAAAATCTAGTAGCCAACATAGGTTTGGTCATAAAAACTTTGAAATTTAAGCCCTCTGATGTGTAGATCTGTTCCCTTTATGTTAGCTTCAGATCTTGCTCTAAGAACTATGAAACAGATATCGCAATTTGATGATGCAGTCTCGAGGGAGTTGAACCACTTGGGCTTTTAACCAAAGGTATGAGAGATTGCACAACATCTGTAATCAAAGGTCTATACTCTGCTTCTGATTGCACACAAACAGCAGCAATTGCAGCTACCTGTCACAATATCATAATCACATTAGTCAACAGCATAGGGCCAGAAGTTGTTCAAATAATTATTAAAAAAAAGTGACACTTATTTGTTTAACTATTTGTTCAAATTCAATTTGGAAGATCATGTAAGAGAAAACAAATAAATTTTAGTGTTCATATATTAAATGAATCAAGTACCATTCACATATTCGAGTTGTTTGTTTATGAAATATCCGTTTAAAGGTTAGTCACTTATAATTTGTATTATTACACACATGTGTTATATCACATTTGTTTGTTCTAGGTTATATATTTATTTAAGAGACCTACGAGTCTCAATCAAATTTTTAAATTAAATATTCAAATTTCTGACTTATATGATATGACTATTAAGGAACAATTGTAATTATGAATTTCAGCGTTATTGAAAAACTAAAAAATTTCACCAAATCATGTTACCTTTTAAAAAAAAGTTCTTTATCTAATAATTCTATATTCATAACTTGCAGAATATTAAGTCAAATAATTATGTTTTTGTATTCGACAAACACTTTGATGAATATCCGAGAGTTTGTGGTCAGATTCAAAGAAATTTGAAGAATAAAACTCGAAATTTGGATTTGTATTCAAATATTATAAACGACTATAAATATGAACATTTCAGAAAAAAAAACTGTTTCCAACCCTAGTCTCTGTATTATAAAACATACCTGAATTAGTTCTTTCCTTGAATATTGTCCTTCCAAAGCTGGATCAACCATTTCGACCACTTTGTCCCTATTAGTAAGTCTTGGAAGAGCCTGAAATAACGAGACACCGATAACGAATAGTTCCTCATGGACAAATACTGGAGTAAACTACAGGGTGTTACTTAGGAGTTTGGACAGAATTACTAACCCATGAGACTAACACTTGTTCACCAGGAGGCCTCAAAGTATCGACAGGTACTCGCCCTGTTAGTAGCTCTAAAAGGACAATTCCATAACTGTAAACGTCTGATTTGGTAGTCAGCCTGCCAGTTAATGCATATCTGCAAAATAATCAACAATAATGAACCATAACTTTATCCTTTTTTGGGTTAATTGCGGATAAGACGCTATGTAGTTCTATTGTTGCAGATAGACCCCCAGAGTGAAAATTTTGGACTGTTTAACCCCCAGAATGTCTATTTGTCAGAAAATATTTTTTTCTCTTATGGTGAAGGAGTAAAAAAAAAAAATTCAGGAGGTTCTATCTGCAACAATAGAACTGTAGGGGGTCTATCTGCAAGTAGGTGGATAGCTTGGGAAGATTATACTCACTCAGGTGCAACATATCCACTGGTCCCTAGAACACGGGTAACAACCTGCCCATTGACCTTATCAGATCCTGTTTTAGCCATTCCAAAATCTGAGACTTTGGCTCTGAAATTGTGGTCTAGCAGAATGTTACTGCATTTGAAATCCCTGTGAATAACTGAAGGAACTGTGTGTTCATGGAGGAACTCGAGGCCTCTGGCGCAGTCTAGAGCGATTCTCAAGCGAGTAGACCAGTTGAGGGGTTCATAGTAGTGGTTGCATGAAGAAGGATGAAGGTGCTGCTGTAAGTTCCCATTAGGCATGAACTCAAATACTAGGAGTCGATGGTGCTGGTCAGCGCAGTAGCCTAGTAGCTCAACTAAGTAGGAGGATGTCAGGCGATTCAATAGGTCAACCTGCAATTAACCAGATTCGTGGTGACAATCCACATATTACTTGAGGAACATTTATGCGTAACTTTCACAAGTCCCCTCCCCTTTAAGTTTGGCCTTTTTGAGGTGAGCCCCCATAAAGTTTCTAAATCTCACTTATACCTAGGAGTGCCCAAAAATATCCGTATCTGCTAGGATGCGGATAATGGTTATCAAAATTTATAATTGATAAGTTATGGTTACAAATATGGTTATGTAGTAAAATGCCTGGATCTGTATTTGAAATGTCATAATACATATTGGTCATACTGTTGCAACAATTATAATCCTTAGATTAATAAATTTGAGGTTAATTTTGATGATCAATGAATCTAATATTAGCTTTTCAGATATAACAAATATGATAATGAACTCTCTTGTATCATATGAACTATATAATTTTTCAATATTATCTAGTTTTCTCACATCCGTTTTGTATCTGCATGTATATCCGCTTATATATCCGTATGCGTATCCATATACGTATCCGAATTTAGCGGATGTGGATACGAATTTTCCTTACCAAGGCGTATACGTATCCATATGCATAAGTGGTAAATGGATACAAATATTGTAAGTATCATATCTGAACCGTATCGGGACCGAATGCATCCCTACTTATACCTCTTAATTTATGGACTTCTCACATAACCTCCATGCATTTCAAATAACCCCCTAACGACATCAGTCCCATTTTTATTGGAAAGAGTTTTCCCCTAGAAACCATCTTTAAAATAGGTTCATTCTATAGAACTGCCTTTGATTATCAATTATCACCTTTAAATGGTGTTTTTGTCACAACCAACCATTTGCAACCACTTTTCAGTTAAGGCTTAATTAACCCCACCTACCATTCATTGAGGAGTATCTCTCTAATATATTTGGTATTTGACACATAATCATTACGGCAACACCGAGAAAATTGACGCGAAGGTGAATTCAGGCGGTTGATTGCAATAAAAAACCATTTTAAGGTGGTTTAGATATAAATTGAAAATCAAAGATGGTTTTGGTAGCGTGACCTTGTTTTAAAGGGAGTTTTTGGGGAAAACCCCAAACAAAAAAATCTCAAAATTACAAACCCATAAAGGTTTTCAGGGTTATAATAATTAAATAGGACCTGAAAGAGGCTTTTTCCCATCAAGGACATTTTTGTCATTTGGATGTATGCGATTTGTTGTTCTAACGGTGTTAGATGAGGGGTTCCCTTGCAAAACTTAAGGAAAACTTAAGGTTAAGTGACATTTCAAAGAGAAATTTTCATAATAGCCCTATTCCCAAGTTATTCCTAAAAATCAGCCTCGTCCACGTTTATTTAGTGAAATCGACCTAGCTTCTGACCACATCAGCATCGTAGCCAGAAACTGGATCATTTAAAAAAAGCGAACTAATTAGTTAGGGTTGACAACCCTGGTTAGTTAGAACTTATAATTCCTTTTTGACTTACGAGGGGAGATTCGCAGCCACGTGTTAAGGCCAAAACAATCGGGTTTGTTTGGCAGGGAGTGGCGCGCCCATGGAGCCGAAGAATTTGTCTAAGTGTTGAAATAGTAGAGGTTCCCAACCCTGACTATTTCTATTCATGGTGGGGCCCATCCATTTATATATACACCCGACCCTCTCTTCCTTTCCCTAACAATATCGTTTCTTTCTCTCTCACCTCCAATCTCTCTCTCTTCCACCTACCCTACTCCTAACCCATTTTTTGGCCGAAATTCGACAAGTAAGTTCGGAGAAGATATCTAGGTAATTTCTCTTCCTTTTCTCAACATTTAAAAATGCAGGGTTTTTCTCTCTTCTTTAACATTTAAATCTAGGGTTTTTATCAAAATCCAATTTTTAAGGTTTGAAATTTAATATCAATTAGATATCTTTATGATGATTGTTAGTCTTTGTGTGTAGTATGTTTTAATAGAAATTTAAATTCTAGGGCATAGAATGCTCATTTTGGGGTTTAGGGTATTTATTTATTTATTTCGGGTTTTTGATTAAAATTAGAGTTATATGATTATGAGATTGTTGCATTGTATATAATGGATTATGAGATTGTTTGCATCTAAATAATATAATATTATTTAAATTTTTTACATTCAAATGATATAATCTAATTTTTTTTCAGAGGTTGAACAATATGGTTTTTATTACTTGTTCTTACAGTGGAAAAATTAACTATAGAATGAATAATATGTCAATGTACGTCGGAGGGGTAACGACGCCGTTAATGATCTTGGAATCATGGAGGTATTATGACTTGATTAAAGAATTACACTAAGTTACTGAAATTGATCATTGAGAGTACCGACTGAAAGTAATATGCAATTGGCCTATAACTTTTGACAGAACGTTCGCAGTTGAGATATCAAATAATTATCATATGAGTATTATGTTTAATTTGAGCAGGACACAACCAACGGTAGAATTATTGATTGAAAAGATTCCACTTAGTTCGGGTCAAATGTTAAAACTTCCGGAAAAGTTCTCACACATGTTAAACTTGGAAGTTGAGTTTAACGGTTTCCATTCATCGTCGAGCGAAATGGAGCGGACTTAATTTCAATGCCTAAGTGCACCTTTATCTGGGGGTACGTCAAGTGTCATAAACAATGAAGCCCCTTATCAAGATATGAGGCCGTAGAGGGGCGACGATTGAAGAGGATAAAAGAAGTGACGAATCTAAAAATGAAGAACAAGATAGTGCGTCAATTAGTAGCATATAATTTGTGATTGAAGATGTTGAAGAGAACCCGGGATGGCTTGATGAGACTAATGTTAATAATAAATATGTTGAGTACAAAGAGCCACTTTCTGACGAGTTTGAAGATGATGAGTGGATTCGTTCTTCCACGGTACAAAATATTGGTATCAACCAAAGTTTAAATGGTAGAAGAGATGAGGACTTCACTTTTAAAGTTGGAGATTTATTCGAGACTAAGGACGAATTGGTTGATGCTATTCGTAATTATTCTATTAAAAAGAATGTCAAGTTCAAGTAAGTTAAAAGCAATTGCACAAGTTTTGATATAATTTATTTTATGAATATAAAAAGAAAATGTTAGGCGAAGGGAAATGAAGTTGATTGCACATGCCCTTGGAAGTTATATTCATTTGCCACAAAGAAACATAATGGGCATTTTAAAATCACAAAATACTGCAGTGTTCACATGTGTAGCAACCCGATCTTAGAGCAAGATCATAGTGGTGCATCTGCTCTTACGTAGCGAGGTTGATTATGCCTAAGTTAAAGAAGAAGCTTGATCTAAATCCCGGTCAGGTAATTGATAGAGTGGTAGATATGAGATTCATTGAAATGTCATATAGTGAAGCATGGAATGCAAGGAGAATCACGATAACATAAATATTTGGTGATTGTGAGAAGTCTTACACAACACTTTCTCAATATCTTGTTGCGATAAAAAAAAGCAATCCTGGAACTGAATATGAACTTATAACCAAAGAGATCCATCCGAGAGTTCAGCAATTCACCTTCGTATTTTAGGCATTTGGTCCTTCGATTGAGGGATCTAAATTTTATCGGCCGGTTCTTAGCATTGATGGCACACACTTCTATGAAAAATACAAAGGTGTATTGCTTGTTGCTACAGGAGTATATGCAAATGATGTCTTATTTCCTTTGGTTTTCGCGGTTGTGGAGTTCGAGAATAGTGAAAAGTGGGATTGGTTTTTTTGCTTGTATTCAATTATACATTCTTAATATTTGACACTAGAGCTAATTTTAAAAAGAGGCATGGTGAGATATATTTACAAAACCTTCTTTGACAAGCGGATTGTGCACTGAAAACATGTATGTATGATCAGATAAGGGATCAAATCAAGGCAACATCTCAAGTTGCACATGACTAAATTGAGAGTAGTTTGGGAAGTGAATATGTAGACCGGTGGGCACTAAGTAAAGATGGAGGGAATTGTCTTTGAATGATGACAACTATTTGTTCTGAAAACTTCAGCGATGTACTTAAGGGAGCTCGAGCAATACCCACAGGGGTTAGTTGTGAGGACATTTTATAGACTTAATCATTATTTTTTCAAGCGACGAGAAGATAGAGCAAAGTGGGTGACGGTGTTGACACAAAAAATGAAGAGATTGCGGGGTCTCGTGTCGTGCAGGCGAGATCAATAAAAACGGTTAGATTTGCTAGAGATGAATGGTAGGCTACAAACAAATACGGTTATAATTACACCGTCATTTTGCGAGGAACTCAATACGCATGCCCTTGCAACATACTACAATTATAAAAATTACTATGAGCGCATGTTATAGCGTTTTCTTCCAAGCAATATAAGGGTGGAAATACTTCATACTACATATATACGCTTCTGAGTGGTACCAATCAAGTCACTATAAAGATTCATACAAGCAGTGTTTCCATCTCATTGTAGATAGTAGTCAATAGCCATCCTATAACGGGTCACATGTGTTACCTCCTGACTATAAGAGACAAGTCGGACGTCCACGATCAATACTCATAAGAGGTACAATGGATGAAGGGTAGTAAGGGGTTCCAAAGCACAATATGTGTGGATATTGTAGACAAATGGGTCATAATAGATCTCATTGTCCTACCAATCCAAATAGATAGTATTTATTTGATACATTTATTTCAATCTATACTAAGCCTTTATATATCAATTAGATGGAATGTTTCTAGATATTGGAAAAGCTCCCCAGAGGGTCATGAAAATTTTTAAAGGAATCAGCTTGATCAAATGGAGAATGAATAGGTGTAAAATTATAATATTTAACTATATTCAAGCAATATATTATATGTTACTGATATGTAAATTTCTGTAATGTTTTTAATAGGTCAAGTGGATACCTTATGAACTAATTTTAGCTTCACTACTAGATATTTGCAGAGATGGTGAAGATATATGCATGCCCGAGTCCTGATTATATGCTTTGAGATTGTCGAAATGCACTTGCTCGATCGTGTGCTTCGACTATTTGGATTAAAATAACATATTCTAGATTTTGTAGAAAGAATAGAGCGAAATTCCCGAAAAGGAGCACATCGTTAAAATTGGGAGATAATTCGTCAATCTTACATTGAGGATTGGGAGTTGAGGGGATGTTGTAGTGATGGAGAGAGGTGACGCACCAGACCTAGATGTGTACATATGTCGGTATTGGGGAATTACTCGCTAATGAATATATCGAGAGAACAAAGCACCTTCCTCGTACATGTCGAGGGGTCCAATTGAGAGAAAGTTGGTAAGTGAATATGCAAAATATATACTTATTTTGTGATCATTATTTTTATTATCATTATTTTGCTAATAATCTTCTTCTGATTGTTATCTTGTAGGTAGAAGAACTTGATGATGTTGCTTTTATTGCAATGATGCATGAGATAAACTACCAAGCAAGAGGCGAAGAATGCATTTGTTCGCATCATAAGAAAGATTTAGTCCACTCTCAGAAATACACGTCATGCAAATCGTGATGGACGTCAATAACGACTCATAGGGTACGAGCGTCGATGGTTGCGAGGACACACCGGGGTGAGCTCAAGTCGCGCACATGACGTAGCCAGATGTTCACAGAAGGTTCAAGATGAGGAGAATGTCATGCGTTCACAAATTCACACACAACCGGGCGACGAGATCATCCAAGCTCATGTTGAAGGCGAATGGAGACGAGGGAGTGGAAGAAGAGGGAGAGGGAGAGGGAGAGGGAGAGGAAAAAAAGTTCTTAATATTAATTTTGATATAGTTTGTATTATGATGTTTACGTTTGAAATGCTAATTGGAGTAAATGTTTATGATTGGAGTTTTGGTAAGTAAATTACAAGTTTGTTTGCGCTTGAAATTGGCTATAGATGTAATATAGATATAAAAATAGATGTTTATTTGTGATTAAAATTGATTATGGATTAATATATGTGTAGCATGAGAGCTTGTGTCCAACCAGACAATTTTGGTTGAGGAGAGAAGAGGCTTCCTAGCAAGAAGTGCTCTCTGCCAAATGGTCGGGGTTGTCAAACACGACCATTTTTATCAGGGTTGATAACCCCGACTATTCCATAACATAGCCTCCAGGAGCGAGAGCAATGGAGCAAAGTTTCTGCTAAATGAACGGGGTTGCAAATGAACGGGGTTGCCAACCCCGGCAACCCCGACCATTTAAATGAACGGGATTGCCAATGAACGGGGTTGCCAACCCCGACCAAATGGTCAGGGTTGGCAACCTCCAATAATTTGGCTCCCGCTAGCAATTAGAAGTGCTCCTAATTAGTCGGGGTTGCTAATTCCGACTAATTAGGAGATCGTTTTTTTAAATGTCCCAGTTTTTTACCATCATGCTGACATAGTCGAAACTAGGTCGATTTCAGTAAATAAAAGTGGATTTGGTCGATTTGTGAATAAATTTGAGATTTGGTCTATTTTGAAAATTACTCCAACATTTAAAATTTTAGGCGAGTTATCTCAAAAGGGTCAAAATCTTGGTGTTTGGGTGTGTCTTTATTTACTTATTATTATTATTATTATTATTATGTTGGGCGTGGGGTGGGCAGGGAGGTGGGGTTCTATGTTTTTTGGTGATTTTACAAGTCCGTGCTGTAGTTTTACTGTAGTTAAATGAAGATACTTTGTAAAGACCAAATTCAACACATCTTCTGTGCTAAACCACTGTCAATGATTGGCTCATCTTAGTAAAGTAGGTTGTGATTCTTTTGAGATCTAAAAATTAGCTCGTTAATTACATCTTTCATATCTGGACGGACCAATTTCCAAATCACGTGCTACGGCAATGACTCGTTCCAAATATAACTAGTACCACACCAACGAACAAATTGCATTAATCGCTTTGTTTCTCAAGGCAAATCATACCCTTCACTAGATAATAACAATTTTGATTAAAAAAGTGTACATTCTCATAGGATCCGAATCTTACCATCAACTCATAGAAAGTAAAAAAAAGTTTAGGATCACTTATATAATGCGTTTATTCGCACATTGCCTCCTTCCTAATAAATGTCGCATTTATTATTTTTTGCAGCAACATTGAAAGAGTTCTCTAGTACAGGTACAATGTAGGGTTTGGCAAGATAAAAAAAAATGAAAGGAGAGAGGGAAGCATGTAAGAGGCTTGTTGGCTTAGAGATGAATCAGGTAAAGAAGAAGACATGCATTGATAATGGTAGGTTTGCATATTAAGTTATGACAAAAAGGAAGGGCAATGAGTAGCCTTAATTGGAATTTGAATAGTTAGAATCTACCCTTGGAATTAATCCCTTTCATTTCCTTCAGTTTATAGCAAATTTACAAGTTTGCCAAAATTGAACCGACTCATAGTAGTAGAAAATGAATGCATTCCATTAGTTTCTATCAGGTGAATGGTATGAATATCTAATTTAATACTTAAAATTCACAACTTTTCATGGGAAAAAGAGGGTTAGATGTGGATAAACCCCCTCACTATTGCCCAATTGTGGATGGACCCCCTATAGTTCTGTATTTGCGGATAGACCTCCTGAGTGAATTTTTTTGACCCTTTACCCTCAGAAATTTCTTTTTGTTTTTTTTTCGAATAGACCCCCCAGAAAAGTCCAAAAAAATTTCCCTCAAGGGTCTATCTGCGACAATAGAACTACACGGGGTCTATCCACAGTAGAACTGTAGGGAGTCAATCCGCAATTGGGCGATAGTACAAGGGGTCTATCTGCAATTAACGCAAAAAAGAAACAAGAGGAGAGAAAAACATTTACCTCCATCCTGAACGCTCTCTCCTCTTGCTTCCCATCTCCATGCAAAACCTTGATGGCTGCCACTGTTCCATCCCCCAAAGTCCCTCTAAAAACAACACCAAACCCACCATTTCCAATCACATTGCGTTCGCTAAACCCATCCGTCGCCAGTTCAAGCTCCTTGTATGTAAACACCTGCCCTCCTTTCTTCTTACCTTCATAGATACAACTCACATCTAACATTCAAATTTCAACACAAGCTATAGAGAGGTGGGAAAACGCAATTTGTATGCAAATCACAAAACCAAGTACCTTGTCTGTAACAGACAATTTGAGAATTTGATATCTGATTCCTGTCACCGCTGCCTGCGTGTTTTGTGCACTTTGGTCGCCGAATTATCAACAGAAGGAAAAAAGAGATAAAAAGGATGCATAGTATAGTGATGGATATAACAATGAGTAGAATGTAATTTAAAGGGAGAGCCGCCATTGCAAAGAACAGAATGGAGAGGGAATAGAATCAAGAAGAAAGCACTATAAAGGGGAGAGAAGAGATAAGGGGATATGAGATTAGACAAATCTCGAGAGCATAAGATGTTGGCGCATTTGGACAAAACTGGAGGTGGTCAACTTGTTGTTTTGCTCTCCCCCCACATAAATACAAACCCTGTTCACATGTTTCCTTGTTATCTGTTAGCTTGTCCTATTCTTTGGATATATGAGCGCTGGTGCCAGTCTCAACTGTTTCTTATCTCTCTGTTTTAAATGCAGGGGCTGTTAAAATTTTGTGTGTGTTTCTCAGTGTTTCTGGTGGTTGGTTGAGATTTGGGCTTTTTAACTAACTTTTCTATATTTATTAACTGCCCCTGGTTTTATTCTCATCATTATTTTTTATTACGTGATCCTTTTATTCTTTTTTGGGTTTTTTAGGAGGAAATTCTTGAACAAACTCAGGCCCCAACGTAGGAATCCTCACTCACAGCTCAACAGTACAGGAATATTCCTCAGAAGGGGCAGGTGATTGAACTCCAATCACTTCAAACGAGATCATATTTCATTAATCAGTCTTCTTCCTTTCTCTCTTTCTTTCAGACTGTAGATATTTTTGTGGCCACCGAGTCCTTATCTACACAGCTGAGTGTTACCAATTCCCCTTTGTCTCTACTCAATTCCCTTCGACGGTGGGCAGCATTGCAAAAGATCTTTTTTATGAGGGGTATGGGCATGAGATTATTGATAGTGATAAACTAGTATTTACGCAGATAGAAATACATTGAGATGGAGGGATATGATGAGAATAAAGTGAGAATAAACCGAGGCAAATTGTCTGTAGCCTTCTGCTTCAATGCAGTGACAGATGATTAAGCAACAACCCAATTAAACAACCCCATGCATCTCTCAATCCGGATCCACTATCTCCTCGACGCTAAGAATTCCATTGTTATTTATCTGCATAGTTATTTATCTCATTTTTATGATTCATATCTTTTTGGCGATTCTTCTTGATTGAATTTTTTATAAAGATTTACGGTGAAATAGAGGGCCTGAGAGTTCTTCCATCTCTGTATTCCTTACAAATTAATTACTAAACTAATATTGGCCCTCTTGGACGTATGCCGAAGGTTGTGTCATGTATTATCTGAATTCTGTTTATATTTTATCTTCTTAATATTTTCCTATGTTTCTAATTGATCATTTTATATATTCTGAAAATGTATGAGAAGACACTATATCTTCTGCTGATAATCAGCAAAATTAACCAGGATCGCAAAAAATAAATTATGTAGGTTGTGGGGTCTGTTAGATAAAATAAACAAAATTAAATTACAGCATGCAAAAATCCAGAAAATAAAAATAACAAAAAAAATCTAGCCTGATCGGGAACAGTCATGTAAACACTACCCTAGAATATTAAGGACCCGCTTATCACCTTGGCGCAGATGAGCCTCTCTCCCCAAGCGGTAAAAAACCCTCGGAATCGGTCGGCCTCTGAACTCGGGCCAGAATGCAAAGCTTCTGCTCAGGTGAAGATGGCTGCCTGAAATAAGAATGTAAACTATAACGATTTTTTTTTTACGCAAAAGAACATTCGTAGGCAGAAGAGATTAAAGAAAAGAAAGAAGCTTTGTTCGTTGTGTGTATTTTGAGAATGAGAGGGCTGTTTATATAGGGTCGGTCGGAACCTTAAGAGCCGTTGCTCAAAATTCGCGCACGTTTCTAATAATGCGCGTAACTCCCCACATGATCTCCAGTCGTTACGCACGTTCATCTCTTTGCATGATCTCCGAAATCGCGTAGCCGTTACACATGTGAAAACGTGTAAAAAGAAGGATTGCAAAACAAAAGGGCATGCGCGTGTGGTGCGGCGTGATGCGCGCATGTGTGTGTTATGCAAAGCGCAAACAATCAATACAAAGCTCAAAACACTATTCAAAGTCCAATAAGAAGAGAACCATTATAAACCTTCTTACTATCCATTGTGCGGACTATTCACGAAGGCAATATTGCCCCCCCCCCACCCCAAAAAAGGCAATGTTTGACTGAAAACACAAAATCAATAAATAAATTAATAATCATGAACAAATATAGGTTGTGCAACCTTTTGTTAGAATCTTGACCCAAGATTAGTTTATTTTGATGATAACAAATATTATATGTTGTGTGTCATTATGTTGCTAACATTTGGTTTTGTAGTATATGTGACGCGCCCCTAGAGATTTCACGACAAGCTGCAGTCCAGAGGTGAAACAAGAAATGTCAAGCTCTGCCATGGCCACCCACACGGCAATAACAGTTTTCCACCATCACAATCAACACTCTTATCCTAGTAGAGTCAACAATGAGTGTAGCGTACAAAAACAAGTAAAAGATAAGACAGAGAAATAACTGAGAAGTGATACGTGATCAACAATTTAATTGTCTGCATCATCCAACGATACAGAAATACCATAGTCAAATGTCTGAATCAGATATACTGGAATACTGCAACAATTTCAAATACAAATATCTACAAGAGAAATAAGGGTACACAGCCTTTAAGCATTCGTAGTGAATAAGACTCTCATAATGTGTAAACAACAAGTCTTACTGTGGGAATCACAAAGAATATATACTAAGTAGACAGCTGAAGCTAAAATGCATCGCCATCGAACGAAGCGAGCCTGCGACTGCTCGGGCTCCTCGGCTCGTTATCTTGAAAGGGGGTAGGACAGACGAGCGTCAAAGCCTAGCGCGAGCAATATCGACAACGAACACCCAAGGAACATGGGCTCGGTTGTACTAAAAAATACACATTAAATACATAATAGATCTAAAATTATTGATCTTACTAAAGAGAATTTCGGTATTTAGAAATTTACAACACGAGCATAGGTACGTCGAGCGAAATAATCCAAACAAGGAAACCCTCATGTATATACCTTGTATCTCAAATTGTAAATCCCTAAACACCAAACCCGAGGTTCTAGTATAGGAACAATAATAAAAGAAATACAACTAATCTCAGAGCATAAATACAGTGCTATGTCATAGCTTATATGGGCATCATGTTATAACTCACATGAATATCATGTCATAATCTACATAAGTGTCATGTCATAAACTCCTGTGAGAAAGTCATATACAGGGTTAAGAAATATGTCCGATACAGGAACTAGATACTGTGGTTTCCAAACACATGGAATAAGTGGCAAATGTCCAACACGAGGACTGAAATGGATTATAGTCCAACATAAGGACTGTGCAACAGTGAAAAGTATATGCGGAAAAAAATATACATAATCTAAACTCGCACGCATCACGGTGTACATGTCTAAACTTGTGTCAAAGGTCAACACATATGCACAGATAAATAATTAACATGGTGAACTAGTGTCAGGTCATCGAGGCGACCACGAAAAGCAACTCAAACAGATCAAGAATCTGTAAAACATCTCATCAGTCAACTGATGTGTCGACTGATGACATCAGTCGACTCATGTGTCGACCGATAAGCTCAGGCAGCACAGCCTCAGCTCACCAGTCGACTGACCTGTCGACTGAGGAGCTGAGAAAACACAATCAGCCCGTCAGTCGACTGATCAGTCGACTGATGACTGAAATTTCATCCCGTCGGTCGACTGATCAGTCGACCGATGGACTGCAGAAACTCTGCACAGGTTGTTATTTACCCAAAATTTTATCTAAACTCATCCCCATCACTCCCAAGCATGAAAATACTGATATTAACATGTATGAACTAAACTGAAACAAAAATTTCATGTGTGATTACATAAACAAAACCCTAAACATGTGCATTCATGCTTTTAAAACATTTTGAAAACAAAACTCATGTTAAATCCTCCGGAGGGTTATATAAATACAAACCTCTCATCAAAATCAAAACTAATAATCATGAAAACAAAAGATTTGATAAAAGAAAAAATTGTTTTCATAACCAAAAGATCTTAAAACATAATTTTCAAAACCAAGACAAAAAAAATAAAAACACTAAAATTCTTGGTTTAAAATCAATTTTGTTTTGGTACCAAAGTATTCTTGGTACCAAAAGGTTTAGGGACATGATCTCTATCATTCAAACTCAAAGCCCTAGGGTTATGAACCCATTTGGGCGCATTTAGTGCACGGGTCCGGTCATAGCAATAATTATGCAAATGATCTATTCGATTGTAATAAGTGCAATGAAGAGGATGCATTTGGTTATGTTGACCATGTTAGGAATCTTGATCCTAAGATTAGTTTTTTTTATGATAACAAATATTATATGTTGTGTGTATTATGTGCTAATATTTGTTTTGCAGTATCAGAGCTATATCAACAATTATATTCAAAGAGATACTCAAGACATAGATGAGTTCAAGGCAAAATGAAGCAAAGAAGAAGAAATACTTTATTGTCAAAATGTAATTTTACATTTTCTTTGCTTAGAAATTTGTATAAGCCTTGATCACTCACACACATACACACATAGTGTTAGAACACACTAACACATGCTTAGTGTGTTGGTTAACAATAGAAATCCCCTATGTTAGCCATTAGAGTTTATAGATATTGAGTGAGTGTTAAAACATTTTATTTATACCCCTTAGCAATTATAATCTGGAAAAACTCAAAAGATCATAGTTGTAGGTCTCTTCAAGAGCTTTCCAACAAATCTTAAATCACCTCATTCTGATATCGGATGAGAAAGTTATAGTCAAAATACTAAAAAAATTTCAGAATCTGTGAGTTTACAATGTAGTCGACTACTATGCATTGTAGTTGACTACTAAGCAATTTTCTGACTTCACATAGTCTGTTTAGACTCAGTGTAGTCGACTACTATGACTTGTAATCGACTATAGATGTAGTTTTTTCATATTTTAGATTTTAAATAAGTGATTGTTTACAGCCGTTTTGTGGACGTTTATTGGGTTTAAAATTATGTCATTTCAGAAGCTATAAATCGGTTTAAACATCAGAAAACAAACACCAAGTTTTGCATTTATAAGATTCACATATTGTGCAAATTAACTCTCTAAACTTTTAGTTTTTCAATCTGTTTTTCCATAAAAGAGAGTTTCTGATATTGTCTTTATTCCTATCATTCTTATAGCTTGTTTAGGCAATATTCAGAGTGTTAAAAAGATTGATAAGCCACTGTTACACGTTCACATCCACATCAAGG